CTGACAGTCACATGAAAGTTCATTTTCTAGTGGAGAGTCGTTGCCAGGCAAGCCTTTTACCGGAAGCTGAAACATGAATATCTTTCTCGTTGCAGTAGAAGTGTTGCATGCAAACCATTTTCCATGATACAATACAATGGATTACATATGCTGGACACATGTGAGGATATAAACTGAAATATATATATATATTTTTTTATATGAACAAGTATTAGAAGTTCATACAAATCATAATCGAATAAAATATCAAGATATATGTGGAAAATCATGAAGAGTAAAAAATCATTGGATAAACTAGAGATAATTCACTATAAAAATAATGAATATACAAATCTCAATCTCTTACCTAAAACCCTAGCAACAATCACAAGAGAATAATTGGGATACAAAGATCATATCACTGTGCACAATATCTAAATTCTCCCTAAGTAATCATAGTAAGAATCTACTATGATTTGATCTAACCTGAGATGAAAACACTGTTAGATGATTGAGAACAGTCTCTCTGCGTTGTCCTTGTTTTTTTTTCCTTTCTTTCTTCTTGGATTTCTATCTTTTTCTCCTCCTTTTTATTGTTCCCAAGATGTGCTCTACTGCCCTCGTTGTTGCTCTTTTATGCTTATTTTCGTAGCTACCACACCCCCCGTTAATATGAATTAGGGTTAGGTTAAGAAGGGGTGAGCTGTGGGCTGATAAAGCCCACCTTGGGCTGAATGTGGGCTGTTAGCCCAACAACCTCCCCCTTCAGTCCATAAGGGAGGCTATCACAAGACTCCTCAATGTGAAGTCATGCCGACCAACTGTCGGCATATCTTTTATCTTTCTTTTGGTAAGGTCTTTATCAATATGTCTGCTCCGTTGTCATTTGTGTGAATTTTTTGAAGCTGTAACTACTTCTCTTCAAATACATTTCGAATCAAGTAATATCTAACATTTATATGCTTTGACTTGGAATGAAACATTGAGTTCTTATACAAATGGATGACACTTTGACTGTCACAATGCACCACATAGTTTTTCTGTTTCAGCCCCAATTCTTGTAAGAATTCTTTCATCCATAACATTTCTTTGCATACCTCTGTAGCATCAATATATTCTGCCTCTATGGTGGAGAGAGTAATACACCTTTGTAATCTGGATTGCCATGACATAGCTCCCCCTGCAAAAGTAAATACATAATCTGATGTGGACTTCCTCGTATCTATATCTCTTGCCATATCTACACCCGTATAACTTGTCAACACAGGCGGTCCACCTCTAAAGCTTAAACAAACCTTAGAACTCCAGATATCTAAAAATCCACCTCACTGCTGCCCAGTGCTCTTTTCCTGGATTTGCAAGAAATCTGCTAGTAACACCAACTGCATATGCGATGTCCGGCCTTATACATATCATTGCATACATTAAACTTCCAATTGCTGAAGTATAAGGAACCTTTTGCATTTTCTCCTTCTCCTCATTACTTGATGGACTATATTCTCAGCACAACTTGAAGTGATCTGCAAGAGGAGAACTAACTGGCTTTGCATTGCTCATACTAAACCTTTCCAAAACCTTCACGATGTATTTCTCCTGTGACAATCAAATCTTCTTAGTTTTTCTTTCACGGAAAATCTGCATGCCCAATATTTGCTTTGCTAGCCCCATGTCTTTCATTGCAAAAGACTCACTTAGTTCCTTCTTTAACCTGTCAATTTTAGACATATCTTTCCTAAAAATAAGCATTTCATCAACATAAAGTAAGAGAATAATAAAATTCTCACCAAACTATTTAATGTATACACAATGATCTGAAGCCGTTCTTTTGTATCCATTTTTTATCATAAATGAATCAAACTTTCTGTACCATTGTCTTGGAGCTTACTTTAGCCCAGACAAGCTCTACTTCAACTTACAGACAAAGTTCTTTTTACCTTT